ACTGGAATGCCAAAATTGGATACATGAAAGAGGAAAATGTAGTTGGATTGTATAGCTTAGGAAACTGAAATGGAGCAGGAGACCGACTCATCAATTTCTGCCACTTCAATATTTTCTTCTTAGCTAACACTGTCTTCAAATAATCAACCATCTTCAAACAATTCTTCTATACATGGATATCACCAAATGGAATATATAGAAATCTGGTTGACTATATTATTGCTAAGAGGAGGTGGAGGAGCTCAATTATAGCAATAAAGACATGGCCAGGTGCTATGAAACAGATCACAAACTGCTTATGTGCAAGCTTCAAGTTAAGCTAAAGAAGAAGAAAGCCAGTCAGTTTCCACAATATGATCTTGAACATATACCCACCATTTTCAAGGAGAACAACAGAAATCGCTTTGAAGTCCCAGTCCTCATTGATAGAGAATCAAAGGAATTATGGAATGAACTTAAAGTAGTTATTAAGGATGAAAGTGAAAAGAGACTGCCAAAAATGAAGAAAGAGAAAAAAGCAAACTGGATGTCAGAACAAACCATGGAAATTGCCAAAAAGAAAAGAGAAGCCAAACCAAGAAAGACAAAAATCTCAGAAAAGAACTTAGAGCTCCAAAGAGCTGCTAGAAGAGAGAAGAAGCAGTATTACAACAACATCTGTAAAGACAGTGAAGATGGAAACAGACATAGAAAAACAAGGAAAGTCTTCCAAAAGATCTCTGAATGCTGAAGGAGGTTTCAACCTTGAATTGGTATTCTAAAGGATGCCAACAGATACATAGTAACTGATTCAGAGGAGATTAAAGGAAGATGGAAAGAGTATACTGAAACACTGTACAGTAGAGATGTCAACATCCAAGATACCTTAGAAGATATTCCTTACTTACAATAACCTCTAGATCTAGAAGATAAGGTTAGATCAGCACTCTAGTCAAAGTCAGAATTGACATTGAAGATATCAAAGTGGTAGATATCTTCTGCCTTTTAGGATCAATCATCAACAGTAAAGGAAAAGCAGTCAAAAAATACTAGCCACAGACTAGCACTTGGTAGAGTAGCCATGAAGGCCTTGGAAAAGATATTCAAATGCTGTAATGTCTCTATACTCACAAAGATCAGAATCATACAAGCTATGGTATTCTCTGTGTTACTCTATGGAAGCAAAAGTTGGACTTTGAAGAAGCAGGATAGGAAGATGCTTTTGAACTTTGGTGTTGGAGAAGACTCCTGAGAATAATGTGGACAATCAAGAAAACAAACCGGTGGATCATTGAACAAATCAGTCCAGAGTTCTCATTCGAGGCACAAATGACCAGGCTCAAATTATCCTACTTTGGACACATTGTGCAAAGACCCAGCTCTCTGGAAAAAGCTCTAATGCTGGGAAAGGTGGAAGAAAAGAGAAGAAGAGGACAACCAGCAGCAAGGTGGATGGACTCAGTTACAGTGGCAATGAGTGCACAATTGGGAGACTTGAAAGAACAGGTTAGGGATAGATCACCTTGGAGAAAATCTATCTATGAGGTCATTAGGAATCGAAAATGACTTGATGGCACATAGTCATCGTTAATCAATCGCCTATACTTTTTACTTTAAGGTTGTTCTTCTCAGCTTCTTTCACTAATTATTTCTTCCTTCCTTTCCTTCTTTCTTATATCATTAAATCATCCACTGTTGAATGGCTCTGGACAGCTTACAGAAAATGGAAACACTTAAAATTACAAAATTTGTATTAAAAAAAAACAAACTCTAAAAGGTGTGAATGAAAATGTATGTTTTTGCTGGTAAAGGCAAGTCTTATTTCTGTTGGCAGTTTGTTATAGAATATAGCTTTATGTCAGAAAAAAGCAGAATGAACTCTATATTCTTAACTGATTATGGTGGGATCTACCCAAGATAACTCTGAGAAAATAGTGGATCTTCAACGTTGGTGATCTTGCAATAATTGGGCCTAAGCCATGTAAAAGTTTGTGTGTTGAGATGAGCAACATGGACCAGGTTCAGAAAACAACCACAAGTTGTTTCAACAAAAACTGATCTTCAACCTTGCAGATGTACCTCTCGCTACCCATGTGACCCCCATTTTGAGTCATGAACTAAAATGTTTTATGCTGAAACAGACTGGTTTTAAATCTTCACATTCTTAGAAATTAGGAAAAACGATGAGAGACATCTATCACTGGCAAGGCAAAATATCAATAATCAGTGAATAAATTAAATGGATTACTTTCTGTCAAAGGAAGTTTTCTTTCAATAAAATAATTTGAAATTTTATTATTCAATGGGTGTGCTTGACGGAGATGTTTTGAAAGACTGTTTTTGCCCCTAAAGACCTTCTTTCTTGGCAGATGATTTGAGCAGATGTGTTTTATGTTAGTCATAATATACAAGGTTTTTAATTTTTAAAATGGAAAATTCTAGATATGTGATTATCTCCTCTAGAGCCATAACATTAATCATAATAATCCATTCTTCTGCTCTGAATCCCCAAGGAAATCATGGTAACAAAAGTATAAGCTATACCAAATGATACTTGATTTCCTTCTGACATTCAGAACTTGTGGTAGAGAGACACAAGACAGTCATTTGCTTCCCTGATATGTGATACTGCTTAACTCTGCCTCAAAAATGTTGAAGGATTCAGGCCGGGGGATGCTATCTGAGAAAAAACTGAAGCTAATGTTCAATCAGGTCCATTTGTGTCAGGAAAGAAGACTTTCATTCAAGATTGGGACATTCATGCTGTCTTTATTAGCCGCTATTGTTCATATAACATGCAAGGAAACTACTGTTAACTGTGGCATTAAAAATCCTCTACCTATTCTTCACAAGTATTTGCAATCTGGAGACCTCATTATTGCTGGAATCCTTTCTCAGGTCTACACCTTTTCTAATCCCATTTTCTTCAACCGGCACCCTTCTATGGAACTTCTAGATGAGTTTGTGTAAGTCCTGTTTCACTGGTTTACAAAACCTTGCCTTTTAATCAAGTCAGTCTCAAAAAGGTTTAGTGAAGGCCATGATAATACAATCTCCTCCTCCATATCTCCACCCTGGGTATTAATCCACAACTCACTTTTTAAATTAATTTCAACTGGATCAAAAAGTAGTTGTTTTTAAAATATTCAGTTCAATCACATGTCTAGGAAGCTGTTCTGGGATTTTGTGGGTATATGCACGCTGGCTCTAAATAAATAAATTTTGCTTTACACTTCCCTGGATCAAAACTCTATCATGTAGGTTAGTGTAATATTTTGTTTAAATTAGGTTGCACTGATGTGTAGCAAATATCATATGGTACAGCAGATGCAGCTGAACAGATTGTGTTACTTTTACTACAGGGTAGTGACCCAAAATTATCAGCAAATCTTGGCCTTGGTATTTGCCATAAAGGAGATCAACAAAAATCCCCAGATCTTGCCCAACATTTCCTTAGGCTTCCAAATTTATAATGGCCACTTCAGTGCAAGCTGGACCTATCTTGCCTCCATGGAGCTTCTCTTCACCCAAGACAGATTCATCCCAAACTACAAGTGTGGTGTGGGGAACATTCTTGTAGCAGCAATTGGAGGACCTGACATTTGCCTACACATGGCGACCATACTGTGCACCTACAAAATTCCACAGGTAAGACATACGTACGGGACACAGGAATTTAGCAAAAAGTATTTGTGGAAAAGGTATAGTGGAATTATTAATGTGTTTATTAGATTTATGGCCTATTTTTTCTCAATTTTTTTTTCTACAATAACAATCCTATAGGTTGGTTTGACTGAGAGATAGTATTTGGCCCAGTCACCCAATTAATACACTGAGTTAACTTCAGGTTTTCTTACTTTAAGCCAACATCTTGACAACTACAATACCTGTTTTATTGTATTATTATAGGACATAATAATATATTATTTTGATACAGTGGTATTTATACAGTATTGACTAGAGGTTCTTAGCACTCTAATATTTAGATAATTTAAACCTTTAAAAGAAAAAGAAAAAGAGGTTTATATTAGTGTTAACTATGAGTTGAAATGTCAATGTTAATAAGCATAAAGTTGTTTGAGTTTTACATCCAAAGTTAAATACAGCATCAATAAACAACTGCAAATTACATCAAAATATTTGTTGTACAATAAAGGTTTCTGTCTTAAGCTGAGTACTTCATACTAAAGTTTCATTTCAAATTTAATTTCCAAAATTTTCTGCATTGCACTATGTATATCTTTCCAGTACTTTTGAATTTTTTTAGATGTCCACCACATGTGGTAAAACGTTTCTTCTGATTCATGGCATTTCCAACATTTGTTACTGTATGATTTGTGTATCTTGGAGATTTTTGATGGAGTTTTATACCATCTGTAAAACATTTTGTATCAATTTTCTTTTAAGTTGTTAGCTTGGAGTAAATGTTATGGATCTGATTCATAATTCTTCCCAATTTTGTATTGTGACTATTTCTTTGAAATTTTGCATCCACTTTATCATACAGTTTATTTGTTCTGTCTCTGTCATATTTAAATAGCAGTTTATATATGTTCCCTAACAAATGGTATTGGTCTTGCTTAAGTATTTCAAATTCATTTTTCTTAATGTCCCCCCTCATACTTAAGATCAGATTTAATCCTTCCAGCAATTTATAAATACATCAGCCATGGCATGTTCTGACTGTCACTGAATAATTCTTGCTGTGTCTTCAATCTGTTCATTGAATCTGAGTAGGCTATGTCTGCATAGGTATTTATATTTTTCTTACTGTAATTATCTCCAACATGGAAAGAATTTGAAGGAGAAGTTAATTGTGAAGTTGTTGGGCTTATTTTTCCTTGCAGAATTCAATGCTTTTATCAAACTTTGTCTTATAAAATGTCCTTTTTTATCCTCCTTTGTGTCTCTTAAATATGTATGAAGTCCATTAGCTTGACTGGCTCCTTTCAGTATTGACATTCTACTATTTAAGAATTTTATCCACTCTGTTATTCATGACAAGCATCTTGCTTTATGATATGGTTTAAAATTTGGAAGGGCAAGACCACCTCTATCTTTTGAATCTTGTAAAATGTTTAATTTAATTTTGGTTTTTTTCGTAGTCCATATATATTTGCTGACAACTTCTTGCCATTCTTGTAAAGTTCTCTCTGAGATTGTAAGTGGTGGCATTGTTTTAACTTTTTTTTCTATCAGCTTTTTATCTGCATTATATTCTTTAAAGTTGAATTTCACTATATTTTCATATTTTTTTATTCTCTATCTCCCATTTGTTTATGGCTGTCTTCTATATTTCCAACTTTTTAATCCCCTGTATATCTCCATTGTAGCTCTCTATCGAGGCATATTCCTTTTTCTTCAGAATCAATGTTGTTGTTGTTTTTTTAGTTTCTGTTTTCCATTTCTGTTCTGTCAGTCTTTTCATGTAATGATATGTGGGAAAGACCTTGGGAGACTGGGTAAAGAGATGCTGCCAAGGGTACAGTCAGATAACAGACAACATAGCCCACAACTGGATAGCGGGTGGGCAAGAGGCTTAGAAGAGACCCTCCCTAGTTTCTCAGGCTGTAAGGGAGATGGGGGTGGGTGGGAAAATTGTTCTTTCAGACTTGCAAGATTCTGCCAATGTAGCTTTACAATAAAGTAGAATTAGCTCATCTGGCTGTGATTCCTATCTGGTTTACCCCACAAGACCGACAGCAGTCTTATAAGTCCCTTACGCTCTTCCAAAGAGAGAAATTTCAGGAATAGCTTCTGATCCTCAAGGAACTCTGCTATCTGCCGAGCATCTGGCATTTTTGCAACACCAGCAGCAAGTGGATGCACAAATGACCAAATTGCAGAATGCCATGATACAATTAACACAACAGTTGGAGCAGAATTTGCCCCAACCTGTGGCAGCACAACAACTTGTGCCTCAGCCAATGCTCTTGCATTCCCATGGGAGCTTGCCAGAGAAGTTTGGAGAGGACCAGGACCAATTTTGGACATTAACAGCTCAGCGTGAAATGCTTATGGCAGGCAGGTTGGTGGATTTTCCCACAGATTGCACCAAAGAGACTTCTGTGCTGAGTTTGCTATAGGAAGCAGCTGCTAAGTGAGCAATATCCACTTGAGTATTAAATTCATTGAGGGGAATGATCCAGTGCTGGACGATTATCAGGATTCCATGTGTAAACTCAAAGGACACTTTGAGGATCCCATACAGAGAATCACAGCTAGCTGAGAGATCCGAAGGCTCAAGCAGGGACAGAGGAGAGTAAGGTCATATATTTCAGACTTTAAATTACTTGCTGGCAATATAGGGTGTAATGACTTAGCCCTGACTGACCAGTTCAGAGAAGGACTGGCCGAGGACCTAAGAAATGAGCTGGTGAGGCAAGGCACCCCAAATACCTTGGAAGAGCTGTATCAACTTTGTGTAATAATATATGCCCACCTGGAAGAGATAAGGCAGGGAAGGAATGGTAAGGAGAAAAGAACCCACAGCCTATCTTCCCCCATACCGCCCTTCCCAATGGCTTCCTTGGAATCCAGTACAGGAGAACCCATGCACATCAGAGCAACCAAGAGATCCCTGTCTTCAGGAGAGAAGCAAAAAAGAAGGGATCAGGGACTGCGCTTTTACTGTGGGGCCCCTGGGCACATAGCCAGATTACTCCCAAGAAAAGCACTATGAGACACAGCAATGAGATTCAGAACTTGTAAATCAACAGAGCATAAAGTCAGCAAGTGCCCAGCTTGTTTTGAAGCAGTACACCAAGGAAATTTCACCAGCCTCCCCTCCAGGAGCTCTGAAGGGGTGCTCTCCACCATCTAAGGAGAGCTCAGCCAGCTGACAGCAGGCAAGTTAATTACTCCTGTTATTGTTACCTTAGATACCAGGCAGAAGGTGGAACTTTCTGCTCCTATAGACTCAGGAGCAACCACTAATTTCATAGATATAGAAACAGTACAGAAACTAAAGTTTCCTACTCAAGCTCTAGAAAGCCCAGTAACAGATCGACAGACAGCCACTAAAACATAACACACACAGTCCTGGAAATGAAACATCTTTCACCTCTCACAAATGGCAGACTCAGTTTGGCTAAAGAAATATCACAGGCAGCTGTGTTATCACCCCCCTCCCCACTGAGCATGTGATCGCATCATCAATTTGAAGGCAGGAGCCCAAATCCCAGCAAAGAGACAATATTTCACGCCTACTCACAAGTTAGCCATTCTCAAGGAATATTTGAATGTCAACATCCAAAAAGGATTCATTCACCCTTCCAACTCACCAGCATCGGCACCAACAATGCTCAAAAAACAAGAACCAGCAGCCACTCTGAAGAGAAAGGAGGGAGCCTCCATGTGTACTGCTCATGACTACAAAGTCCTGAACAGAGTGACAATTGGAGACCATTATCCACTCCCACTAAGCTCAGATCTACTAGACTGGCTACAAAAGGCACACATCCTTACAAAACTAGATTTGAAAAGTGCTTTCAACCTAAGCAGAATGAAAGAAGGACACAAATATTTAATAGCTTTTGATACAAGATACAGCAAATTCAAATACACAGTGATGCCTTTTGGCCTAGATAACTGTGGAGCTGTTTTTTCTAGATTCATGAATGAAATATTTTCAGACATCTAAGTACATGGTGGTGTACTTAGATGACATATTAGTTTATTCTGAAGATCCATCCTTGCGTGTCACCCATGTCAGAAATGCACTGCAAAAATTACAGCACAAAAGCTTTTTGGCAGCCTAGAAAATGTGCAATGCTTTCTGGGCTTTGCCAACTTCTACAGGAAATTCATCCCTAATTTTGCTGACCGTGTACAACCACTGCCCCAGCTCCTAAGAAAGGATCAGCAATTCTCCTGGTCAACCCAAGAGCAAGCAGCATTTCAAGAGTTAAAACAACTCTTTGCTTTTCAGCCCCTCCTCCACCATCCTAACCATCCGGCCCCTTTGTGGTACAGACAGATGCTTCAGAAGTGGCAATAAGAGCAGTCCTGCTCCAGGTGGAGAAGGAAGGGGGACATATCTACTACTGGGTGCCTTTTGCTTTAGAATGCTCCTCCCAGCAGAAAGGAAATATGATATTTTCAATAAGAAGTTGCTGGCAGTAAAAAATGCCATTCAACAATGGAGACACCTGCTGGAAGGAGCAGCCCATCCTATACAAGTTAGTATAGACCATAAGAATTTAGAGGTTCTACAGAATGGTGAGTCTCTTACCCTTTGGCAAACCTGATGGGTCCAATTTTTCTCCTGCTTTGATTTTTACAACTCACACATTCTAGGCTTCTAAAACAAACTTCCAGACACCCTGTCATGTAAGCCAGAGTACGATATGCCCCAGTCACACACCCACCCCTGCAATGCAACTTTGAGTCGCACCATAAATCAGACCAACATGAAAATCTGGGAGCAGGAAGACAGATAGTTGATCTCTTTGATCAGATTAGGGCACAGCAACAGCAGGATGCATATGCCAGGGCCTGGATGGATGACCTCCAGGAAGCCCAACAAAGTACTTTTGTGCCTTTCACAGTGGAAGGAGGGCAGCTGTCACACAATGGATGTTTATATGTTCCTCTGCCCAAGGTAGAAGGTGCTACAGTGTGCCATGACAATAAAACAGTTGGACATGGGGGGATATTTAAAACCCAACATAGAGTTTTCAGAGATTTTTGATGGCCTTACACTCATGCAGACAATAAGGATTGTGTTTCCTCTTGTCATGTCTGAAAAGTACAAAACTAATCCCTGGTAAGCCGGCTAGGTGATTGCAGCTGCTAGAGACCCCGTCATAGCCCTGGGATACTGTTTTTCTAGATTTTGTCACCAACCTTCCCCCAGTGTGGGGATATACAACCATACTAGTAGTAGTGGATTTATTTACCAAATTGGCTAATTTTGTTCCTAGTAAGGGCCTCCCAACAGCCCAGGAAACAGCTCAGCTCTTTTTGGTCCACGCCTTTAGATATAGAGAATTGGTCGATTGTGATCTTAGACACAGGAAGTTCCTGCACTTTCAAATTTTGAAAGGTTGTCTTGCACTTATTAAATATTAAAATTCATTTGTCTTCCTCACATCATCCAGAGTCCAAAGGAGAATCTGAGGTTACCAACTGTTGCAATATTTAAGATGCTATATTTCATACTAGCAAGACAACTGGACTCATCTTATACCGCTTGCTGAATTTGCTTTCAGCAATGCAGCATATTCCTCTGTTGGTATGTCCCTGTTCCAGGCAACTTACGGATTCCACCCATGGGTCTTACTAACAACCAGGCAAGAAAGCACCATTCCTCATGCTGCAGATTTCCTGTACAAGAGGCAAAAGGCCCAAAGCCTTTTAAAGGAACAGCTAGAACTAGCAAAGGATGCATACAAAAAAGCAGCAGATGCAGATGGACAAAAGGGAGCTAGAATTGCAGAAGGGGATTTGGTGTGGCTTTGTACAGAATGTCTGACTTCTGCAATGCCTTCTAAGAAACTAGACTCATAATTTATTGGCCCTTTCCCAGTGATTGAGCAAATAAACCCAGTAGCATTCCATTTGCAACTATGAGCATCAGTGAGGGTTCACCCTATATTCCATCAGTCTTTACTAGTGAAAGAGGCACCCCCTGCAATCTGCATTCACAGGCACACCCCCCACCAGACTGGTAAATGGGGAGGAAGAGTATGAGGTGGAAGCAGTGCTAGACTCTAGATGCAGAGGGAAACAGGTTGAATAGTTGATAAACTGGAAAGGTTACCAGGAGTTGGAGAGGTCACGGGAGGCAGCAATAGGTGTGCACTGCTTTCATGACCAATACCCTAACAAACCCTGTCCTTGCAGGAGTTTGACACTGGCCAAAATGAACAGGAGGGGTTCTTCTCTGGGGTGGAGGGTGCCTCAGGGATAGCAAGAGACCAAGTAGGGAGCATGGCAAATGAAGGGGGAGACCATCTCTCTCCATATCAGGCACACAGGATATGAAGGGGGAGACCAACAGATTCTTGAGGGAGGGGCAGCTACCCCCTCTAGAGGTACAGCTCATTATTGGTATGCTTCGTGTGATCTCAGAGAATTACCAGCCGAAGAAGGAAGCAACACAGCTACATTTCATTCTCACAGCCCACACTCAGTTTCCCCTGGGAACTCAGGAGGAGGAGATGAGTGTGAAGGGGAGGATGATGTAATGGTATGTGGGAAAGACCTTAGGAAACTGGGCAAAGGGACACTGCCAAGGGAATGGTCAGATAAGAGACAGCATAGCCCACAAATGAATAGTGGGCAGGCAAGAGGTTGAGAAGAGACCCTCCCTAGTTTCTCAGACTGTAAAGGAGATGGGGGAGGAGAATTGTACTTTCAGACTTCCAAGATTCTGTCCATGTAGCTTTATAAGAAAGTGGAATTAGTTCATCTGGCTGTGATTCCTATCTGGATTACCTTGTGAAATTTCTTTTTCTTCATCTTTTCTGCTTGTGTGTTCCTGGGTGGGCTTCTTAATTCTTTCCCTCTTCCAAATCTTGGCTCCATCTGAGGGAAGTGGCTCCAAGAACTTTCCCTCATGCCAGTCTGAGGGAAGGAAATAAATGCCTCTCCCCAGTTTTCTCAGCTGCTGCCTATTTTCTGGTTACCTCTCCTCAACAGGGCCATCTATCTTTCAGTTTGTCTCTTTACTTTGAGTCCTGGGCTTTGGCTCTGTTTATTCAGCCTCTTCTTCATGAGGCCTGTGGCTGCAGAGCCCCCAGGCTGCCATCTTGTCTTCCCTCCTCCCTCCCACCTGCCTGATGCTGCTGTTTGATTGGCAGTGGGGTTCTCCTGACAATGGGGTCAGGCCAAGAAGGGAGGGGGAGGAAGGAGCACAAATCTACTCAGGCAGTCTGTCCTTCCACAGCAATATACATAAGAACGTTGAATCAACTTTGTATGTATTTTATTCACTTAAATACAGATTAAAACTTTGATTGGATTGCAGCTGAAATTTGGAATAAGCATTGCATTTGGAAATACAGCAATACACTGATTCACATCCAACTGCTGTGCTCTGTCTTCATTTTATTTAGCTGACCTATGGCTCTGCTCCAATTTTGGATAAGAAGACCCAAGGTGTTTTCTTTAAAAATATGTTCCCAAATGAGGTTCTCCAGTACAGGGGTATCCTTCAGTTGTTGCTGCATTTTAGGTGGACGTGGGTTGGAGTTCTTTCAGTGAATGATGACAAAGGCGAGAAATTTGTAGAGGCTGTGCTCCCCTTGTTTTCCCAACATGGCATCTGTGTTGACTTCATAGGAAGATTCCCAACAATGAGTTTTTACACTGACTTTACAGATGTGATGGATGAAGGACTCAAGATGTACAGAATTGTCATGACAAGCACAGCCAGTGTGATGGTATTATATGGTGAAATTCAAACAATGGCATTTCTGAGAATGTTGCTCCAGTTTTCAGAAATGGAGACGATTCCAAAGAAGACAAAAATATGGGTTATGCCTGCCCAAATGGATTACACATCCATTTCCATGCACAGATATTGGGACCTACATTTCCTCCATGGTGCTTTATCCCTTGCAGTCCACTCAAAAGAAGTCCTCAGATTCCAGGAATTTCTTCAGATCAGACACCTGCACTCAGATGAACGTGATGGTTTTATTAGGGATTTCTGGAAACATGCATTCCATTGTTTATTTCCCGACTCTCAAAAAAATCAAGAGACTAATAAAATCTGTTATGGAAAGGAGAAGCTGGAGACCCTTCCTACATCTGTGTTTGAAATCAGGATGATTGGCCACAGCTACAATGTATATAATGCTGTCTATGCTGTGGCACATGCTTTGCAAGCAATGCGTTCATCCAGATTCAAACAAAGAATAGCGGGGGATGGCGAGAGACAGAACCTTCAGCATCTACAGTTGTGGCAGGTAATATCCAGAGTGGATAGATGTAGAAAAAAATCACTGTATCTTTAGTTGCAACATCAAATCTTTGATGCATATAAAGCTAACTCTGTAAGAAAGTTGTATTTGGGTATGTAAGTGGAATCATAAATTATACATTGAAATCTACCCATTGCTACATTTGGATAATTTAAGTCCCCAGAGCACTTATCATGTAATCCTACTTTTACTGTATGGGTCTGAACCAAGTCATGCTTTGAAAAAATGTTTGACATTGATGCACAAGTATGTCATGAGTAATTTGAGCCCTGTTGGTTTCTACTGAACTTCATTTTAAACAGGATTAAACTTGAATCCTGAACTTGAATCCTGAACTTGAGAGCCAGTATGGGGTAGTGGTTAAGTCTAGAAACCAGGAGACCATGTGTTCTAGTCTCACCTAAGGCCAGAAGCCAGTTGGGTGACCTTGGGCCATTCACTTTCTCTCAGCCCTAGGAAGGAGGCAATGGCAAACCATTTCTGAAAAAACCTTTCCAAGAAAACTGCCGGGACTTGTCCAGGCAATCTCCAAAAATTGGACACGATTGAACAGATTAAAAAAAAAAAATCTTGAATCAAATCCAATATTTTCTCAGATTTGGAGGGGGCGGCGGAATACAAATATGGCAGAAAACCCATGAAATCTACCCCTAGTATTGTAATTGTCCTCCAGTCAGAGTTGATGCTGACATGCATACATATCTCACAATCGTTGCACAGACAGGGTAGAAGATAATTCTTTGATGTTCCCGTTTCACTAGGGACAGGGTCACAGTTAGCAATAACTCTGCTGCTGTTGGTCTCCAGAGTGCCTTACAGACAGATATTCACAACTCCTTGTTCTTCCCATAATTATTCATTTGGGCCACAATATTCAAAGAAAGGAAAGGAATGCCCTCACTGCTCAGCAACCATCCAACTTTCTGAGCAGAAGACTTGCACAGACAAGATAGCTCTCTCCTGAACACAGGTCTGAGACTTAGAAAGCAGGAATGGCAACCACAGATACCCACCAACAATAGCATCCTAAGAGAGCTCATTTTACAGAGTGTGGAGCCAGGGAGCAAGAATTGGACGTTTGTGCCTCTCTGAAGGTCCAAGAAGAGTTTTCACTTCAAAAATATCTAGGTTAAAAGAACTGTGCAGAAAATGGTTTATGGTATAGAAAATTGGCAGAGAAAAATAAAAGTGAAATTTGCTTTATGCATAAGGGTGGTTTTAAAAATTTTCAGACTGAAGTGGAAATGGGATGGAAAGAATTAAAGCCTGAACATGTATCTGAAATTGACAGCCCCCAGATGCAGAATGATTTATCTATCTCCATTTTAAATCCCTCCCTCCCTCCCTCCCTTCCTTCCAGCTTCATTACTTCCTCAGCAGTGCTTCATTTAACAATAGTTTGGGAGAACATATCTCCTTTGATCAAAATGGAGAATCAGTTGGTGGATTTGATATTATTAACTGGGTCACGTTCCCAAACTGGTCCTTCCTAAGAGTCAAAGTTGGAAGGCTAGATCCCATGGCTTCACCAGACAAATCCTTCAGCATTTGTGAAGATTCAATTATGTGGCCCCGAAGCTTTAATCAGGTAAGAACCTTCTGTATCTCTACTAATTAAAAAAAAAAAAAAGTTAAGAAAAGTTTTCCCTGCTCAGATGCATATAAGATTGAGCTATAAATATTCACTGGCAAGACACTAAAATTCATTGCAAGTGAATTATTTTGGCAGATATCAAAGAACATTAAGTTGTAAAACTTATTTTAGTGTATTGAAGAATAAGAGTGCTCTTATCAGTCCAAGACTGCATGGTTGGGAAGATAATGTTTATTTTTCTTTATTTTGTTACTTCAATTTGTATGATCACCCACTCATCAAGCAACTCTGGGAACCTAATAGAGGGTTAAAAATAACAGAATATAAAAAACAGAACAAAACAGAACACTGCACTGGATGAAATGACTCATATCCCTCATACTAAAACGGGTTCACACAGCATCCTGACCCTCTCTTGGTTGGTGTCATCTGAAGCTTTATGGGAATGTGTATAGCCCAGGTGCAGTGACAGAGAAGTCAAAAGTAAAACAGCATGATGGCAAAATATAAGGGACTGTGCTTTGAATGATATTTTTAGATGCCCAATATTCTGTACATGGCCAAATCAGATAGTAGTTGTCTGCAAGAAAATGAAGGGCTTTCAAGAGTCTTCTAATTGATCTAATTGCCAACTGTACCCTAGCCCCAAAGAACGAGGGGATAGAGGACCACCTGCCCTTTATAACCAAGGGCCAGAATGTTGTTTCTTCTATTTTGTGTGTGTTACAATCAGTACTAGAAATCATTTGATTGAAAGGTGGGGGTATAAACCTTTAAAATCAATATCAACATAATATTTAACTATCATCCTTATTGTATGGCTAATTATCTCCCTCAATGGTGGACCAAGAGTGCACCAAGTGATCTTTGCCAATGAAGCCATTATATCATGCCAGCTTGGGTCATTTTTAAATTACTGGTTGTGAGACAAAGTACAGATTTCAAAAATGGTTTTTGGTTTTCTCCATGTTAAAACATTCTCTTTTCCTTTATGAATTGGCACAACCCATTTCTATATGTAATGAACATTGCCGGAGAGGGTATAGCAAAATGAAGAAGGAAGGGGAGCCATTTTGCTGCTACAATTGCCTTCCATGTCCAGAATGGAAGATTTCAAACCAGGATGGTGAGATGTGCCATATTTACAAATATATTTTCTTGTAAGCTAGTAGGTAGATGTCCTTTCTTTCATGTTTACAAGCTGTTACATTCCAGAAAGAAGTAATTACACATAATAATTAGACTTTGACAAAGGTTTAATGTTTTTGGATATCCATAGTTTTTTGAACTTCATCCTATTACATAGAAATTGGACTGCTGAACAGCAGGAATGGATTTTCTGCATCCTTCTTATAGCTAAAAGACCAGTCCTTCAACACGTAAAGGTAAATGTATGGCCCCAATTATGCAATGGATTAAAGACTTGATGTTGTGAACAAGTTGTTTACATATGTAGATTCTGTATGGAGGATTAAAATGAAATATGGCTGTCCTTTATTGAATGTTTTGTGTAAAACTTTGTATACATATAAAAATGCATACATATTTATGTGTGCATTGAAAACCCTCTATGTGTGTAAGACATATGTGATATATTCATGCCTACATACACACATATATCTTATACACACATATATACTTTCTTTTCTTTCCCTCTATTTCTTAAAATATTTACAAATTCAGATATAGAAATTGAAGATGAATGCAAATATTATGCACTGGAACACAGCAAATCTTGCAAGCAGTGTATTAAAACATGGTAAAACCATTTATAATACAAAATGTATAGTATCAAAACACAGAAGAGAGATTAGCTTTGTGTTCTGTTTCATCACTGAAGTTAGCTTTCTTTTTGATTAGTGTTGAGCATGGCTAGAAATGCAGGAAGTGGAATGGAGATCATTATTAATCTAAATTTTAAAAAATTAAAAACTTTGATAAAAATATAGATTTATATAATTCTTGCCCAATGCCGGGCCATGTTGATGGCAAAGGTATTTCCGACCAGCAAATCATTCTGAGTGCGTGTCGGTCCCAAGGGGCACTGCAAAAGATGGATAATTGTTTGAATAGCGCCACATTCACAATAAATATCCTTGTCCTCAGGAAGAACCCCCCATTTTTCCATCTGATCTTTAGTTCTACCCAAACCAGTGCGCAGTCTATTTAAACATCTCCGAACCGTCCACTCCTCCTCCAAACCTCCAGGCAACTCCTTAAGTGGTTCTATCCAATCGTAAAGATGTTTTGCTTGGGATTTCAATCTTTTTAATCGTTCTGTTTGAGGTGTGGTAGCAATCTCCTCGGCGCAATCTAAAAAGCTCCTCCTGGATCATGTAACACCTTTCCACATTCCACGTCTTATGCCATGCTCCTTCTAACACCTGGTGGGGCTGTTCCCACCAAGATATACAGTTTATCAAATGGAGTGGAGTGCAAACATCCAGTAACAATATGACATTACTGAGTAAGAACGGTAGAAAGCTATATTTCATGTTTCACTTGCAGTCTCTTCTTCAAAGCCAACACTATGCCCTGTTCTTTTTCAGACCAAGATGACTGTTATCCATGTCCAGAAGACCATTATCCAAATCAAAAACAGGATCAGTGCATTCCAAAATATATCACTTTCTTAACATTTGAGGAACCAATGGGAATCAGCTTGATTATTTCTGCTCTTTTCCTTTCCTTCATCACAGCTTTAGTGCTTGGGATCTTCATTCAGTGCAGAAATACTCCCATTGTCAAAGCCAACAACCGGAACCTTACAAACACTCTTCTCATCACCCTCCTGCTCTGCTTCCTTTGTGTTCTGTTTTTCATTGGGCAGCCTAATCAGATCACGTGTACCTTTCGACAACCAGCTTTTGGCATCATCTTCTCAGTAGCAGTTTCTTGTGTATTAGCCAAAACCATTGTTGTTGTTGTAGCATTCAGGGCTACTAGGCCTGCATCCAGGATGAGGAAATGGGTGGGGAGCAGACTGGTTAGCTCCATTGTTCTTTCCTGCTCTCTTATTCAAATTGCAATCTGTACAGTGTGGTTGGTAACATTTCCACCCTATCCAGACCTTAATGTACATTCAATGTCGAAAGAAATTGCACTGGAATGTAATGAAGGGTCAGTCATCATGTTCTGCTGTGTATTGAGCTATATGGGTTTTTTGGCAATTGTCAGCTTCTCTGCAGCTTTCTATGCCAGGAAGTTACCTGACAGTTTCAATGAAGCTAAATTTATTACATTTAGTATGCTGGTCTTCTGCAGTGTTTGGGTGTCTTTTGTTCCAACTTATCTGAGTACCAAAGGAAAATACATGGTGGCTGTGGAGATCTTCTCCATCTTGTCCTCCAGTGCTGGCTTGTTGGGCTTTATCTTTTTTCCCAAATGCTTTATACTTGTACTGAAACCTGAGCTGAACAACAGGCAGCAAATAATGACCAAAAAGAAAAAAAACTTCTGAAGGACAGCCCATTCCCTTTCTGTAGTGTTTGCAACCATTTAGTAATGTCCTCCTGCATCATATTTGTCTCAGCTCATGTCCGTTTGTAATATCTCCATGTCTTATTGTTATGGACAATACAGGTAATCATTGGTTAATAACTGTTTTGCTTAGTGACTGTCTGAACTTCTGACAGTGCTGAAAAAGTAGCTTTATGACCAGTCCTAAGACTTAACAATTATCGCAGTGTCCTTGTGGTCACATTATTGCCATTCAGGTGCTTCGAAACTGGCACACATTTACAACAGTTGCAGTATCCTGTGGTGACGTGATTGCCATTTGCAAGCTTCACAGCTGGCTTCTGACAAGCAAAGTCAATGGAGAAGCCAGCAGTAAGTCTCAAATCATAGTCGCATGTTGTTGCAGTTAATGATTGCAGGTGTTTTGCTTAACAAGTACAGCAGAACTGACGCTTTAAGTCTGGCATAGTCACATGACACGTAACAAATGTGTCAGTAACAGAGTTGCCAGTCCCAATTGCGATCATTACATGAGGACTACGTGTAACTTATTTGTGAGCTATTGAATATCTATCTATCTATCTATCTATCTATCTATCTATCTATCTATCTATCTATCTATCTATCTATCTAGTCACACTGCTAGATCTGGGCATTGTGTCAAAATTGCAGGGTTTTGTGATCTCTCCTTCAAAATTCCTGTTTGATAAAAAGAATGGTTTATTGACTTGATGTCAAATAATTTTACTGCAGAATTATGGAGTTTTCCACTTAACTGGGTGTAAAATGCTTAAATGTAAATAAATGCAAGATAATTTAATAGAGTGATAGTTGGGTGATGTATTCTTTCTGAATATGCAATTTCCTCCATATCCAAGGTTGGATTATTAACAAACCTTAGAAGACTTATTACTCCATTCATCACCTTCTGCTGCAATTCTGCATTCAGACCATTAGAGGATCAGGGTCAGTACTGATTATTGGGTTAACTCAGTAAGAGGAAACATAAAATGGGGTTGACCTTTCATCGGGATACAACTGAAAGGTACTTTCATCTCAAAAATGGTGAGAGAAAAGATGGGAAAATGGTGGTGTGGATTTACCCAGGACTGTATCAACATGAACAGCATCACTGATTAATTAGATGCTGAACTATAGCCATGATAGTAATCTGCATCACAGTATGTCAGCTGAGAAAACTCTTAAGTACATCAGAAGTTCACATCTTCAATATATGATGGTTATGGATGAATAACTTCAAACCTGTGGGGCAAGTTGCGTTTTTGCTCAATGTTCATAAGTAAAAGGATGTATAAAAGGACATTCAAAATTTTAAAATAATCCCATTGCTTTCTCATTTTATATATCTATTATTTGAGAAGCGTTACATTTAATAACAGTGTTGTTCAATCAGGATAGAGATTTGGCACAAGATTTCAAGTGCTGAATAGGATCATTTCTCAACCCTTCCTTCACAAAAGAAAATGTTAGAAGGATAGTTCCCCAGTCTTCAGAAGAACAATTTACTGCGAGTTTCATAAAATCATCCAAGTAAAATTTCATTTTAATGTACATTGAGATTTGGAAATGGAGCGTGCCTATATACTGAGAATGACTCAACTAATTTTGAGAATGAAGGGGATTTTATGGTAGTGTGGGATCAACAGTCCTCTCCCCCCTTCTGACCTTCAGAAAGGTCAAATTCCAGGTCAGACTGGAGAACTGGATTGAGCCTTACACTCT